ACTTCAGCACATAGATTTATGACAAAAGTAATTCTATAAGTGACAAAGATGAAACCTTCCCATAGTCTTCTAAGATTCATCTCTTTTGCCTCTTTTTTCATCCTGTCTTCCTTCATCACAGCCATTTCACTCACTTCCAAGAAAGCTAAGCCTCAGCCGCCCCTAGAAGAACCAGTCCCATGCCCACAGCGTCACTTCAGCCCTGCAAAGGCAGAATTGAGCCCACAGCAATCTATGTGCTCAGTCTGCTAGGGCAGCTGGCTGAGGCGAGGTGACCCAAGCAGACAGACTGAGGCCTACAGGGAGCAGCCAGCGTGAGAGCCAACAAGATTGGGAGGAGCAACACGAGGGAGGGCTGGGGGACGGCAGGCAGCCAGCCAGGCCTTATGGCAAACCCAGGGAGCCAGTTCCAGCCAGCCAGAGTGAGGGGATCTAAGTGCACTCTGCTGGCTCTGTCCCCAGCCTGAGTCCCTGGGGAGTTCATAGAAGGAGAGAGCCCTCCAAGCATTTCCAACAACAAACTGCGTGATGTTGTCATGGAAAACCTGGATCTTTGCATTCTACAGTTTCACTGTGGATGACATCCAGGTCACAACCTAAGGAAGACATCTGGCAAAAAAACAGCCTTGCTGGCTGATTACCCAGCTTTTGTAATGAATCCCAGCAGGATACAGACTCATGTGCAGTTCTGGCTCTGCCAAGTCCTGAACCAGCTCTCACCGAGCGAAGACCAGTCAGCTGGTGATTTATGTTCCCAGAGAAGTCTGAGAAGCCACCTGCAACCAAGACTCCCCTGGAGAAGCTGCTCCAGGAAGAAAAGGATGAGAAGTATGTGCCAGGGCAAGGGAAGGGAGGATGAAGTTTGTTTTCCTGTTGATGTGGCTATCTTTTGTTGGTTTGTTTAAAAAAAAAAATGCAAGGACACACTTGGTCATGAGGGCATGATGTGAACAGCACAAAGACAAGTCTAAATGCTACATACAGTAGCTGTGCTCTGTAGAATGAGCAATTCTAAGAACATAAAAAATACAATGAAACTTTCCAAGAAAGTAGAAATACTTTATATATTTGATAAAGGCTTACTATGGAGCTCAGATTCATAGTGATACTTCTGTTTTCAGCCTCCCCAGCACTGGGATTACACCCAGTCTTGGTGGCTGGCTCAGCACACCCCAGGGCGGTGCCAGCATGGCATATAGTGCCAGGGACTGAACCCTGAACCTTGAAGTTGCCTAAGCAGGTACTTAATCCACTGAGCTCTTACCAGCCCTAGAAATACTTTGATAACTATCTTATAGCTGTTACTAGTTACTGTATGCCAAGCACTATGCTTAAGCCTCATGTGTTCTCTGTCATGGTTTAGACCTAACACCCCCCCCCCCCGCAATTCTCACGGCCAGTGGGGCTGGCTGGAGGGGTAGTCACTGGAGTGCAACCTGCACAGATGAATTCTCCTCTCCAGCTCCTGCCTTCTCTTTCTGCTTCCTCGCTGCCAAGGAGGAAAACAGCCTTCCCCGTTACCATTGTGCCCTATGGACTCTGCCTTCGAGCCGCAGACCATGGGCTAACCCCACTAACCTGTGAGATAAAATAAGCCCATCCTCCTTCAAGTTGTGGATGTTGGATATTTTGTTACAGCAACAGGAAAGCTGACCAATATAATATCTAATCTGCAAAATAATTCTGAGGTAAGTAGTACTACTAGTAGTAGTAGTATGCCCATTTTATAAGCGAGAAAAGTGAGGCCGGTGCTTCACAGCCTTTTTAAGGGAAGGGCTGAACTCTGAATTCCTGTCGCAAATGAATGCTGAATGCCACGGCCCCCGTGCAAGAAAACACTTTGGAAGCACATCTTGGTGCTCACTCTGAGGCAAGGCTTTAACTACAGGCACACTCCGTTATCTAGGTTAACTGACAGTAAATGTTTAAAGTATGCAGGTAAGGATTTCCATTGAGATGGCAGATTCCTTCATACCCAGCTTCTAAAAAGAAAACATTAAGATTTTAATGATTTTTATTTTTTATAGATGATAAGGGCTGTGTAACTTGTTGCCTATTCTTTAAAATTATAAATAGCAAAGGAATATGCTTACAGTATCATTTTACATTCAGCTATATGTTATAAATACATCCCTTTGCCAAGATGCACGTTACAAGAATGAAGTCAGCCCAGCAGTGTACCTCTGAGGAATCTCGCACTGTTCTGCCAACAGGCTTCTAATCATCTGTCTTAACACTAACTAGTTCAGGGGGAGAGCAGAGTGGTGTGCACAGCTCCAAGTCCCTGGCTGAGGCTAGGCTAACTAGGTGCTGCTCTAGCCCAGAGAAAAAGCGAGTGAGCGGTGTGCCCCTGGCACAGTCACTTCCTCAGCTGCCTACCTAGGAGGAGGGCTACTGTTCACTTTGCTTCAGCTGCCTAGTGTATACCTCTGCAGGGGAGAAGGAGCCTGTGGCAGTTATGTCCCCAGAGCATGTGACAGATGTCAGGTCAGTCTTTCTCAGGATCTTCTTGCTACCTATGCTGCTGGCTGGGCTGGGAGGGAAAAGGAAAATTCTTTCCTGGGTTTCAGTGTTCAGCATTAGGCCCTACAGAGCTGAGTGACTAGATAGGAACCTGTGACTCCTGCCACTTTAAAATTGTGAGTAATTTCAGAATTTTTAAGAGGCTGCAAGTCAGTGGTTTCTTTAGAAAACACAAGACTTTTGGAAGAGAAAAGATCTGGCAGAGTAGTCCTAGCAATGTGCTCTTACTTCCTTCCCTTCTGCTTTTTTTCCTAGGGACATTATGCAGGAGGAAAAGCTAGGAAAATGCACCAGAGTGTGTGGATAACTGTGATACATACATCCAGCCTGCACAGAAATGAAGGGTCTTGCTGCTTCATGTAAACCGGAAACTATACAGAAAGATCAGTCAGACCCACATCCTTGGGAGATGGGATTCACTGGTCCAAACCTTTTTAAGAACTGTGTGTGAAGAGTCTTGAGAACTACAGAACTAAAGGTTGCTTGTGCCTCTCAGTGACTGCAAGACAGATTTGGTGTTGGGACGCAGCCTGTCCCATGCCCTGTTACAAATGGCCATGGGCTTGCTAGAGGGCAGATCCCCATCACAGGCCTTCCCAGGGGGGCAAGCCAGACAGAACCCACAGAACCCCAGAAGAGAAATGCAGAGGATGGTGGAGTTCTACCCAGCCAGGGAAAGCTAAGTCCTCCTGGCTAGTGAACCAGAGCTCTTCAACAGGGAAAATAAACTGTGCTGGCTTCACTTAGCAGCATTTTTTTCTTGGCTTTTCAAAAGCCACTAGTAACACCACAGAAATTTTAAGATAGCCATCTGAGAGACACTGTGTCTAAGGAAAATAAAAGGTATTTCTTTGAAAAGAAAAAGATGAACCAGTACTGAAACTTATATTTAACATTTTTAGAAGGTGAAATGCCTAGCTTAAGGTCATGTACCTCAGATTTCTGAAGCAAATCAAAGGGGACAATAAGCTTCACAGAAGGAGAAATCTAAGACAGAAAAACTAAGGTAGGTCTTAGTTTCCAATCTCCCTATTATTCAGAAGACGGAATGCGGATGTGCAGAGAGGGGTTACATTTATCTCAAGTGGAACTGCTAGTTGGTGACAACTGAAAAGGGAACCCTGGCCTCCCAGATTCCATGAATGCTTATGACTGACTGCCTGGGTCATTCATGGTATGGCTGATCCTGGTAGAGAAAGATCCAAGATTTGTTGCTTTGGGATGGAGAGTTTAAGAGGTGCTCTGGTGTCTGAGGGAGTACAGGGCCCTTGAGAGCAAACGTGAGTGAGAAGCAGAGCAGGTCCTCGGTGATCCCTCTTGGCCCATTCTCCCCAGCCCACCCCAGTCCTTCCTTCAAATGCATACCAGCCACAGGCCCCTAAGATTGGAGGAACAGAAAACTTTTTCTTATCAGCTGTTTGGGGGGAAAAACTGGTCATTTGATCTGTTTATGTAGAAGGCAGCTCAGCTCAAGCACTAGCTTCCAGAGAGGAGAACTCATTCATCTGGGGTCTGTTTCCTCCAAGCCCAGATCTGTTCTTATCTTCACTGGTACACCCCCGCTCCTCCCCCAGGCTGTATGCTCCCATTCTCTGAAATGGAGCCACCTTCCTTTAGGGCTGTAGGTGGATTCCTGTACCTCTTGCTAGGCTTAAACACTTAGTGAAAAGTAAATACTTTTTCCCCTTCAAAAATGAAACCAGGCCTGCCCATTAGCTCAGTTGTTTGGGGCCAGGGAGTTAGCTCAGTAGAATAAGCGTTTGCCTGGCAAGCTCAAGGGCCTGAGTTCAATCCCTGGTTCTGCAAAAAAAAAAAAAAAACCAGTAGTCTGGAGACGTCAACTACCTTAGTGTAGGACAGACTACTATCCTCTGGATTTATAGCCACCTCTTAACCCTCAGGAGAATCCTAGGAAAGTGGGGAGCATATCTCTTCCTGCAGGTCACAGCCTGTTCTCTGGGATCACCATAAAGAGGTCATACTTTCTTTCCACTGGTGTGAGAAGTTCCCAGAAAGTGGAAGGGTAGCTTGCATTTTCTATGCGTGCGCAGAACATTCTGGCAGGCTCCAGAAGACACAATTTAAACAGAGCATCTTTAAACAGAGCAGCTGATAGGCGTTCCTTCTCAGCCTCTCTTCCCAGCCAAAGCCGAACTCTGGGGGCAAGGGTGGGGCTTGCTGCTCCCGCCGAGCTCTGAGCAGTCATCCCTTCTCAGCAGCTTCTGGCCGCAGCCTCGTAGGGGATGCGCCCATTTAGAAGTGTGCTTTAATCTAGGGGGTAAGCAAAAGGGGGAAAGGGGGCAAGAGGAAGACAGTAGAGGGAGAGAATGAGTAGAGAGGGGCGAAACGGAGTCTTCACACTGAACACGGAAAAGGGGCCCACGTGGCCGACCACAGACTCGAGCTCCCAGGAGCAGAAGTTGGGAGAAAAGCTCTTGGGGAGCCGTCCTCCCTGCGCCCTCCCTGTTCCCACTTACCCGCGATTCCCTGCAGGAGCCCGCACACGTTGAAGATGCTCTTCTTCATAATACTCTGCACACACATGGTGAAGACGGACACCAGGGCCACCACGCAGAGGATGAGGATCCCCACAGCCAAGAAGATCGCGGTGGCTTGCCAAAAGCCACTGGCGATCTCGCTGAAGCTCTCGGCATAGGGCCCGCACAGCGTGTCGCGCGGGACATGCTGCAAGCCAGGGTTTCGGATGCAGCGTGCGTAAATGCCCAGCGTGGGGTGCGGGAGTTCAGGGCTCCCCTCTGCTGTCGGCTCAGCCCCAACGCCACCACGGCCCTTGGCCTTCCCTATCAGCCAGTCTGCGCTCATAAAGGCAATGAGCTCCGCAAAGGCCACCACAATACTCAGGAGGGTCCAGAGCATCGAGCGGCAGGTGACAATGACATGACACATATTGAAGTTCAAGGTGGCAATCCAGGGGTTAATCAAAATAGCCGGCCGGTGGAGCTGGAGGCGGCGCTGGCGGCCTGGGAAGGAAGTCCAGACACGGTCATTCACTCCTGCAGCCAGCGGCAGCAGCGCAGTCTCGAGCGGGCGGCATGGGTGCTGTGACACTGGTCGTAGTCTGGAGGTCGGTGGTCGGTGGTCAGGCCACAGCGGCCTCACCTAGGGCAAAGGAGAAAGGGGGGTGTGAGCGCCGGCCCGCCGGGTCCCACCCACAGCCCGGCCCCGCCCACAGCCCACCCCTCCTGGCTTTGCCGTGCCGCCCCTTGTCTCCGCCTTCTATCCAGTGCCCAGGTCCGGCCAACACGCGGGGGCACTTGGCGGGCTGGAGTAACTTTCCCCTTCTCCTTGACCACACACTCAGAACACAGCGTGGCCGGCCCGGAGGTAGCGTGGCTGGAGGCCCAGAGCCCCACCCTACAAGGGGCGGCGCCTCTGCCTGCGACCTGCTTAGAAAAGGCAGCAGGCAGGGTAGGGTGGACCTCAGCAACGCTGCAGGCTTTGGCAGATGTTCTGGAAAACTCGGTCCAGAAGCTTTCGCTCAACAGCGGAGAGTAACAATATCTAGCTTTTACTGCTGGAAATGGAATCCCAATCACTGTGGAGTGTGTCCTTCCTTGGTGAGACATGCAACAGGAAACACTCCGGAGAAAATAAACACTGCTCTCTGCACTTGTTTTCATCTATTTCTCAAGTTACTTTAGACAAAATAATATATATTAATTAAAACTCAAAAAAAGGCTAACACCTCAAAGAACTGCTAGTCGGGTGTGGTGGCACACACGAGTAATCGCAGCACTCCAGCAGGTGAGAGAGGGTGGCAATTTCGAGGCCAGCCTGAACTGCACAGTGAGATCCTGTCTCAAAAGAACTGAACTGATTTGAGAACATTATCCAAAACAAGTCTTAAAGCTCATTAACGATGCAAGTATTATTATGGTTGAGTGACATAGCAGACACTGGCCATGAGGAATGTGTCCCCTGAATTGTCCCAATTCATCACATGTGCCTTTGACTGAGCTTCATTTCCCCCAGGTCTGTAACTCAACATGCCCATTGTTTCTGGTTTCACAGAGGCTCATTCTATTCCATGGACAAATGACCTCATTACCAGAGGACTCTGCCCCAGTAGTTCAACCCCCTTCAGCGGAGCCCAAGCCCTGAGACTGGGGCTGCCAGTGCAGCTCTGTGGCCCACTTCTGCCTCCTCCCAAGGCCAGCTCCTGGGTCCCTGGACATGTGGCTCTGCTTGTAGTGATCTGCTATTCCTAACCAAGTTCAGGTCAGCTGCATGCAGACTAGTAAGAACCCTCAGCATGCTGCAGCAGGGTGAGACCGGAAAAACAGAACCCAAAGCCACTGTCCAAGCTTCACATGCCTGTTCCATAGCACACATCAGTGTTCTGCCTGCTGGCCAGCACCCACATGAGCACTGACTGCTGTCTCACAAAAGGGGATGTGTTTAAAACTTTACGCATCCCTGTCATTACACAAGTTGCTAGGAGAGCATAAACCTGGAAACATGGCACTTAGTTGTCACGCTGTGTGTTAAATGGCTGTGCTGAGAACTGGGTGAAGCAAGGTGCGGTGTCCCACTGAGCTCTGGAGTTCTTCCTCCACCACTTGGCCATGGTATATGTAACTTTTCAGAGCTCCTTCATCTGCCACCAACATGGAGCCCTATCTCAAAAGAGGGCTGCAAGGAATAAAGTGACATAGTAACTGCTCAGAAAGACCGCTTTCCTTCGCAGTGTTTCCCCTGACTTTAATAACAGTGGTCAGGTGAAAATGGGAACAATGCAGATCAGAGACCTGGCCACTGCACACAGAGAAGCTACTTGAGATGGACACTGAGTGTCCTTCCTGCTTAAGTGGGCTTCATGGGCAAACTTTTGTTTCCCTATTAACTTGTTTGCCAAGCTCAACTGGTTAAAATAGGTAAGCCAAAACACATATCCTACTGACACTATCCTATCGACACTCTCCTCCCATTTCCCAAACATTACCAAAAACAAAAGCCTTTTAAAAAATGCTACCAATATCAAAGAGATTCTGAGAAGGTAGTTTGTATTGAAAATCATCATTCTGTATGAGAATAAGAGTATGAGGCTCCTGTGGGCCTGACAGGCCATATTTGCCCACAGGCTTGTGAGCATGTGAACCAATAGGTGCAAACTCAGCCTTTTAGGAGAAGCTGAGCCTCCTACAATGCCTCCTCATTGATTAGAAAGCCAATTTGCTATTCTGTCCAGTCCAGCTCCATCTCTACCCCTCTTCTGTTTAACGTCGATTTATCACCATGGAGATGCATGCGTATTGGTCCCCTTGCTCAACTGCAGGACTCTGTCATAACCTCAGGTGATTTCAATCTTATGTACCTGTGCCATTATCAATTGGCCTCACTAGCAAGCTCTGCTCAGAGCAGGAGTGGAATTACAAATCAGGAGTGGAATCAGCTTTCAGCTTCCAAAGAGAAAATCTCTCAGTGTTCAGAAGCAGGGAAGATGGGGCACTGAGGCTCAGCAGACTAGGCCATGCAAAGTTAGGGTAGTGTTATTTAATGGCCGCATGCTTAAGCTCAGAAAGTAGAGTACCTTCTCCACCCAAAACACTCCCTTCCAAATTATCACTCTACACCAGAAGGGCTGGGATGAGGCCTTGCTCCATGTCTCTGCTTGAATTAGAAGATAAGGTGCTTTGGTCTTTCTGGCATGCCTACTAACTGCTGCAGAGTCAGAGTCAGCCATGACACACAAAGGCAAATGACCAACACTGAAGCTTCTCAGGACTAGGGCAGCTTTGCCTAGGAAAGTCAACAGTGTGGTTGGACATGGAAAAATCTGGAAACACAGCAGGGGCTTCTACAGCATGACCTGTCAGGCTGGCACCTGTTGATACAGCATCCCCATCTTCACTATAGTCCCTGGTAACTACAGGTTACTGAGTCCAGTGTTCTTCAGCAGCTCACTGTAAGCCAGGCCATCACTGCCACCTCACATAACAGTCACTAAATACACGTCACTCTAGGACATCTGGTCTTGCCATCACATCCCTGATGACCGTGGGTAACCTGGCCAACTCTCTGACTTGCTGCAAATAAAGGTACAATTGCTACGAAGGTCCACAAAGTAAACTCTTTTAGAAAATAATAATAATAATTAATGATAATAATAATAATAACAACAACAACAGGACACAAAGGAGTTGCATAGAAAACTACAGTAAGACCATAGTGAGGACAGACAGGAAGCAGCTGTGTGTAAGAGGTTGGTCTGCAGCAGCGGGCACACTGCCTACTTCACAAAGCCCCAAAGCAAACTTGGGGATGGTGCCGAGCAGCGCTAAGTTGGATCTGTCGCTCACTCAGATCGCAGGGTTCCCTCTTTGGAAGCTTCTTGGTATCAGTCAGAAGGGAGAAATGTGCGTGTGAAGTCACAGCCAGGTGGAGCTAATGGTGAGACTACCGGGACAGAATGGGGCATGGGGCATCTCCGCCTGGAAGGCTGAGGGAAACTGAAGGGCTCTGGTCACAGCTGAGCACATAGTCCAGCTCTCCAGTGGGGAACAGCAGCACACCTCCTGGGAAAGGGGTACAGGGAAGTGTTTTGAAGAAGACCACCTTGCCTCCTTACCTTGGTTCTGGTTTCCCACTCCACTATGAAAATTTCAGACACAAGTTGTCAAGAACAGACACTGAATATCCATATATCCAACACCCGGGCTCAACATTTGTCAACATCTCCCCAAGCTGGATTCCCTCACCCACAGCATACATGTATTTTTTTTCTGAACCATTTGAAAATGAGTCACACATGTCTTAATACTTCATCCCCAAATACATTAACACACACATTCTAAAATTAAGGATATTTTCCTGCATAGTCACAATAAGATTACTATACCTGAGAAAAGTGACAATAATACTTTTATTACTATGTTGTCATACTCAGATTTCACTACCCCATCCCACTTTTGTAGTAATTTCTTCTTAGAACCATGACTCAGTCAAGACTCAGGCATTACATTTGGCTAGTTAAAGAACAATTAATAGTCTTTCCTCTCTAGCCTGCACCCCCCTTCCCCATGTTGTCAACTGTTTGGAGATACTACATGAGTTATTTTACAGAATATCTAATGACTGGACTTGTCGATTTTCTCATGATGTCACACTTTTCCTTCTGGTCTGCTTCACAGAAATGGGGAGTTAATGCAAAAGACCGACTCAGATTCAGCTTACGTACTTCCAATGAGAAGCTGCCACGGGTGATGCTGTGCAATCCTCCCTTTATCCCTGGAGGAACACTACTAGGACTGCACCCAAAAATCAGAATACGTGTGTGTGTGTGTGTGTGTGTGTGTGTGTGTGTGCGTGTATATATAAACATAACTCCATGCCAAGTTTCTCTTAAGGCCAGAACAATCGTGATCTGTGGGAGCAGAGGCTGGTCATGGCAGTGTCTCTCCTGACATCCCCCCAGGGATTCTGATGCCAGAAGTGAGGATCTCTCTTGTGAGGTGCCATCCTACAAGCTACAGTGGAACCTCCTCAGATACGTGTGCTGTATTTCTTTGAATGGAGCTATGTTTTATACATAACTTAGGAAAACACAGAGATCTAAGACATCTACAAACCTAGGAGGGAGCTACAACCTCATACAGATGTAGCTCCTTCCCTCAAAATTTGTTTGAACCAAGAGAACGAGGATATGGAGAAAAAAGCTTTTGTGTAACCAGGAAGGTCAAAATTTAATTGCAGCCTAAAGTACTTGCCCAGCTCTGAACTCCAGCCATGGGAGCTGAGACACTAATGACTCATAGCTCTGGCCAGGGCAGCCCTTCAGGAGCTCATTAGTAAAAGATTTCTTAAACTAGAGTGGGAGCACAGAGTGTAAGTAATGTTTACTTGAAAGACTAGGGGTGGAGATGCCCCAACTGCTCATGAAGATGCATAAACAGGGCCAATCAACATCATAAAGCACATTGACCACAGAAGAAGAGATTTGATTTGTTGAAGAAAAAAGGCCAAGTGCATTAATGTGTGTGTTATTCTCTGAGTTATAGTCTAACCACACTTAACACTTTCTCCTGTAGTCTTGCCTGAGCTGCCGAGACAAGCTTCTCTCCTCTGTGCATCTCTGCCTCTGCGGGGAAGATGCTGAAGCT